TAACTGCACTATTTCTTATATTATAAAGTTTGTTTTCGTTTTCAAATAGTTATTTGAATTAAATATTGCACTTAGTTTTTGTTTTATGTATTTGTTTATATGGAAAAAAAATATTTAAGTTCTTTTTATTATTACTCCGGAGACTTGAAAAATAAGATATTAAGATTTTTTTACTGTCCTTTAACATTGAAATATATATATATATATATATATATATATAAGTAATATTTTTGCTTTCACATGATTGTAGTTTCACACAATTTTGTACTTATGTCCTTGATTTAAAATTTTATTTTGTCTGGCTTACTGCCTTAATAGTGCTAATAATTCAGTTTTCATTTCACTTTAAATTTATTTTCACTCATTATATAAATATTTAGATACCATATAAATATTTAGATTACCATATAAATATAATACTTTAGTTTTAGAAGTGAACCAGTTAAGAAACTATGTTTAGATAATATGACTGATAAAATTCTAAGTTATTACTTTACATGTTAAAGCTTTTTTGTAAGAATATATATTTAATTTAATAAGTGTTAACAACATTTGGACAACTTCAAGAAATTGATATTTTTATTTTTAAATTTCACCAATTTTTCATGACAATCTTTAAAAATTATGAGAAGTATGTAGTCAACATGATTACTTTTTAATAATTTGAACTTTAACTTCCTGTATAAAATATTATTCATAAATAATAAGAATGATATATATATATATATATAAACGATGCAAACAATCTTTTCGGTAACACTTCCGATATTTTTGCCAAATGAAATAACTTTTCTGTATAAATATTTCTCAGCCTTTAATAGATGCAACAGTGTAACTAAAAATAATTTTGTTTATATTATACATAAGGATAAATATACATATATGTTTTCATTGCACAAAAATCACCGAGTTTAAATTTGTATGAACAAACTTAAATATTTAAATTTTTGGAAACAATACATTACAGCAATTTACATTCAGTTGTTCACATTAACTTAAAACAGATTTTGATTACTTGTGTAGGCTAACTGTACACCTCCACACATATGCAAAAAAGACACTTCTGTATCTTCCAGTTTATCGGAACTTGCATTTCTCACGTCTCGAAAGAGCAAATTAGGATCTATATAACGTAGGTATTTTGACTCAACTTTTCTGAAATGACATTCCAAAATTTTTTCACAATATTTTGATTCTTCTACTCAAATTATGCAAAATTGCCAGTTTTCTAACAATAGCAAGATTAGTTTTTCAAAAATAAGCTCTCAAAATGTTAGCTCCTCAGTGCTAATTGAATTTTGTTTATATTTTATTAACATCTCTTTTTTAATTAAACTTGCATGATTCTTCCTGTGAAAGTTCAAAATTTACGTTCAGTTGAATTCCAGATATTTTGCGATATATAAATTTGTATTTTTTAGTAATTTTTATGAATTTCTGAATTGCAGCATGTAGTAATTATACCATCAACTAAAAGTCCAGGATCTAATTTTTAGGCATACCTGCAAAAAATTTATTCAAGGTTATTGATTTTTATTCAAAATTTCCTAAGCGTTAATAACGCGAAATGTGGTTTACACACACTGTAAAAATTACTTGAAAGGATGCACCTTTCCCCACAGTGAAAGGAAAAGAAAATAGGTTACCATAAATTAAGATTTTCGCCAAGTGAACAAACAATTCTCGTCGCAAACTCAAAAAATTGCACCAAGATAAATGTTTGAGTTTCTCAGTAAACTTCTCAACAAATTTTACAAAATTTAATATTAAGGCATAATTTGAGTAGAATCGAAATACTGAAAAAAATTGGTATGCCATTTCTGACAGTTAAATTTTTGTGTCCAAATACCTAGATCCTAAGTCACACTTTTGAGACATGAAAAATGCAAATTAAATTTCATCTGTCGGCCTAGTAGAATACGAGATCCTCTTTTTTTTTTTTTTTTTTTGGTGTGTGTGTGTGTGTGTGTGTATGCAGAGTGTGTGTTTCAAGCAAAATCTACACATTGGCAAAATTCGCATTATAAATGATTTTGAGAACAGAGAAAAAGCTGACTTCAGTACATGTTAAGAATAACCTCATTTTTAGATTCTTCTTTAAATGCAAGATTGACAGAGAAACTTTCAGATGATGCGTGATATGTCTTGCCTATAATAAATACAAAACTTAAAGCTGCACATTTAGTCTCTTGTAATTAAGAACTGAAAAACACTCAGCTAAATTTCAAGGAACATCAAACTAAGTTGCTCAACAAAAATTAACTTTCCCATTTTGAAATTTAACTTTCCCATTTAAAAATTTTACCATTTTTAGAAAAACAAAATGAGTTAAAGCACTGCTTGTATTTCCTCCATAAGCTTTTAGAGCAAGGTTCTCAGAATTTAAACAATTATCGTAAAATTTTCCCCTTCTTCACTACATTAAGACAACAAGCTCCTGTGTATTTTAAAATTGATTCATTCACATAGTGATTTGTTTCGTCTTACTTAGGCCCATAGCACACTGCATTTGTTTCATACAAACAGCTGTTTCAAACACTTTTTCTGCCTGGTTTAAGTATCGAAAGAAAGATACATGATTTTTTTCTTCCTTTAGAAAAAATTGCAAGTTGTTTGTTTTCAACCAATCAGGTATTACTTGTTTGTAATCAGTCAGTTTGTAACAATCAGTTTGTTTGTAATGGAGAACCAGTTTCCCCTTAATATAGTGATCCGTGGTGAATGGCTGTTGTGACAAAGCAGAAAAATTGTTCCACACAGTTATTCTTTCGAAACAAACAGATGTGTAATAGCAGCTTTAGCCAGCTAAACAAAGCTAAACTCTTGCAAGCTCACTCCAAACCTTTCCCTTTTCTTTTGTTGAACTTTATACCAGCCCAATGCAGGAAATGACCAATCGTAGAAAAGCAAACTCGAACTGACTTGCAGTCTGCAGGTTCGATGAGTCAGATGAACATTCATCTTCTCTAATTATTGATGGGTGATTTGAGGCCTAACCAGTAGCAGAGGCAACAATAAGAACGGGCGAGATTAAAATTACAGACAAGTAGAAGGAAAGCTATCGTAATTAGATATTGTAATGTTAATACTGCTATGTATTCTTATTGGAATGGAGGTGTCTTTTAAAGAAATAATATTGGGATAGCTTCCTTCCTTCTTCACGACTACTTTTCATTTATTTGTGTTCTTACTGTAAATATATCTTTCGAAAATTAAATTATTCGTATACTTTTCCCCTCTTAATTTTCGGACAGTAAAATGAGTTAAAAAAAAAGGAAAAATATGCGAGGAAACATGGTATTCAGTTGATGATTTATGATGACGAAATGAAAAGATTAGAAAATTTTATAGAAAAGCACAAAGAATTTGGAAATGAAAGATATATTAGTAATTTGCGTTTCCTTGCTGATTCAGCAAATTTGTATACTGCATAAATTGGGATAATAAGTAGTGTTTAAATAAAACAGAAAGGAAAAATAATGAGTGAAGAAGCGTAAAAAGAAGCTGAGAAATTTGGAAATATCAGAAACTGAAAATAATATGGAAAATATAAGATGGAATGAATAAATTTAAAAACACTGAAAAATAGCATGTATTAAAACTACTTAAACACACGTTGAAATTTTTGAAAAATCTGACATTTTGCTGCTGAATTTTGCCAACACAAGGAGTTAAAATTATCTTTACACTGAAACTCAAATATATAGAAAAAGAATAACGGATATTGTTTTTTCCCCCTCCCCCTCAAAGTTAATTTTAGAAATATATAAATTTTCTGAAATAACCTGTCCAGAAACAAACTTTAATCCCAAATGTAAACATTTGAAATGTGTCTATAGTGAACCTTTTATACATGTAAACTTTAATTTTTTTAATACAACGTTGAATGTACAGAGTAGTCTCTTTTACATCTTTTTGAATTAAGAGCATGCAAAGTACAGTCATAGAATATTCTTTATTTCTGAAAAATAACTATACTCATAAATTTACAAGCTAACTTCCAACGTTCAATTAAAATGTATTAGTAATTTCATAACAAGTTCATAGAACTTTTTAAATATGTTGTGTGTTGATTCTCAAATTGCAAGGAGCACAATGTAACTCAAGGTGTGTTAATTTCTATGTCAAAATTATCACTTGTTTATTTAGAAACTGCACAGCCTTCAAATATGTTGCAATATAAAAAAATCATCTGTTTTATTTTCCATAATTTCTATATAGATATATTTTAATTATTAAAGAATGTAATCAACACATTTCCACGCCCTTTGTCTCCAGTAATAACACACAGTATAATAACAGTCTGAGGCATGAACTCACCAGTATTCAAACAGTTTAACAATGGCAACAATTGCAGTTTTTCATTATCTAAAAATTGTCTGTCCATATTGCAGCTATATGCTAAGTCCAGTTGCCTTCCAATCACAATATCTCTTCCACACTGACGCTCCATCACATTTTTGATTTTGAAAAAGAAAACAAAAATCTTGCGAACTTTTTTATGAATATTTTGAGCTGTAATAGGTCTCGTTGAAATCACTGTCCACAAAATTCGGTTATTATTAGCAGAGTTCATAGTTACAAAGTACAAAATGTTATGAATAAATTAACATGCTTTGATATTATACGCAATGGATTTCAAAACAACTGAGATATTTTGAATTGAAACAATTCAAATGTTTTGAATTTTCTTTTGAGATATACAGTATATTTGAAAACAAATCAACATTAAATAATGGCCAAAAACTGCAAATGAACACAAGATATTAAGAATACAACAACAAAGCTTTTGTAAATCAAGTAATGAACTGAACAAATATTTTACTCTTTTACAAAGAAATTTTGTTAATAAGATGCTAACATGAATTTTTAAAGTTTACGTTTGACATCAGATTTATTTTAGGTAGATTACGTAAAGCAAAGTAAAAGGAAACAGATTTCTTTACAAGAAAAGAAAAATATACAGACTACTGAATTCACATAGCAGTTTAAGATACACTAAAGAAGGTGAGCAATTATTGTCAAATTTCTCAGAGTGCTTCCCATCTGTTCTTTGACTTAAAAGTCAATTAATTAAAACGTTTATTGTTTTAGTTGTGGGCATTTTAAGTAAACTTCTTTGTTACCATAACATTAGTTTAATACGATTTTAAAACTAATTCCTTTTAGTTACAACATATTTATTACTGTGATTTCTAGAGCTATTTCGTCGTGTGTGATCACATTGTCAAAATTCTTATATTTAAAAAAAAAAAAAAAACATAATGAGACATAAGTCCCTATTTTAACCTGTTTTTATTGCCAAAAATGTGCACTAAATGATGAATTTTTTTAAGGCTATATTTTATCTACATTGTATTTACAATAAGTTTAAAATTTTAATTGAATTTTTCATCTGAATTGTTATAAAAAGCTCACAGATTAAACTTGCTTGGGAAATATTATTCACTAGGAATACAGACAATAAGTAGTAATATTTGAAATGGCGAGATGCTTACATAATATAAAGGAAACACAAGCTGTTATCAACACAACAATAACACACATAAAGTAATACTGACTAATTAATGGTACTAAGATTAAGGGAACATAAAAATATATATAATTTCATACATAAATATTAAAATATAAGATCTAGTTAAACTAAAAATTTATCAGTTAAGGAGAAAAATTATTCATAATATAAAAATTAAATTAACAGTGAAGTAAGTTTGAAATCTTTTTTTTTTTCACTTCATACCTATATTTTCAAAATTATTTCGCCATTTAGTTATTAAGTTTTCAGAAAGAATCTAATACATGACCTTCTGCAAGAACCAATGTCTGTTTCTTTAAATGCATATATTTGGCAATTAATTAGTGGTATGCAGTTTGGGAAATTTCACAGTTATAAATACCCACTACAGGCTATTTGGAGATGGCAAAAAAGTCATGCCACTCCATTGTTTTTTTCTTTCTTTCTGCAAATTGTTTGGGCTGAGAACATAAAAAAATCAGGTCAATTCACCTTTTATTTTTTCCCTTCATTATGTTTGGTAAGGGAATATTTAATGGGAAAGAAGGTGTTTGATGAAAATGGCAGGCCGAAATGATAAACATGCTGGATCATGTGCTATTTCATAAATAACTGTATTAGGTATCAACGCCAGTGACATTAATGTGTGAAGCGACATTACTTCATGTTCCAGCAAAGACCCTTAAATGAAATGGCAAATGAGAGCCACTTCAGGCTCTCACTGTGAGATAGATGGTTTATCTCATAGTGAGAGTCTGAAGTGGGATGATTTTTCAAAAATACATATGAAAAATTCTGAAACTGGACATAACCATCTAGGTCAGGCCTCAGCAACCAATGACCTGCGGGTCATCCACAAACCCACTCGAGTTCCGAATATATAATATATCAAAATAAATTATGAAACGAAAATTTTGAAGAATACATAAAAAAATTAACTGAAAATAAACAAGAACATTTTTGTTTGATTACAAAGTTGCAGTAATGAACATGTATTTTTATTTGTAAAAAGTAAAAATTCTAGCATAATCTAAAAAAGAAATCTATAAGTTTGGTAGTACAGATCCATAATTTCAAAAAACATGGCTTTGCCATTTTGTCCACATTCAAATTATAAATGCGAGCAAATATTTTCTCACATGAAATTTATTTTAAGTTAGAGAACAGAAGCAGCTGAACTATTGAAAATTCAAATGCTTGTATTTATCTTAAGATGATTAACTATATAAAGCCAGACTTGACTAAATTGACGTCACAAGTTCAGCATCAGAGCAGCCTTTATATCGAAGGAAAAAAACAAGGTTTAGTTATTTTTTAATAATAATTGTAATTTTTATGGTTAACGTTTATGGCGCTTTGTAACTATTTTCTAAAAAAAATTTATCTTTATAACTCACGAAGAAAGACTGTTCTAAAATGAAAATACCACTGACCCCAAATTCCTCAGTACACATATTGTGGTTGATTTTGACTTGCAGCCAAAATAGGTTGCCGATGCTTGATCTAGGTGGTCACCTAATGCAGAATGTGATGATTTTCAGGACCCCATATGTTACAAATGGAAAAGCATTTACTTAACTGTAAAATATAGATAGGAGGGATCTTTAATTGTTTGATTCAAGATCCTTTTTTTTTTTTGTTTCAAAAAAGTCAACCCTTACATAATGTTTTTCTCTTTTTCCTATTAAACCATGAACTGTGAGTTAAAATATTGTGGGCATTTTTCAAATAAAAGAATATATAACCTGATGCCAGTTGCTGAACTTGGCAAACTTTACAAATACTGAGTAACTGCAGAAGTTCACTCCAATTATATTTGGCATTTTACAGAGCCATTCTTTCTTACATCTGAAAAACAAACAGATATTTTCTTTAAATAGCTGAAAATAAGTGACCGAGAAATGTTTGCTGGATTGTCGAAAGCAATCCATCAGGTGTCTGCTGGATTGAGGAACGTCAGTGAAGGAGAAGACAGAGCACAATTCATGGAACCAATGGTATCTTTTTGAGTAGTGTGGCAGTGAGGTTGTTGAATGTCAGCAGTGGGTGGTTAAGAGGACTAAGTGGCAACTGCCATCATAACTGAGTATCTCCCATGTTGCAGAGGTTGTAGCGTTCCACATAATGGATCAGTCCGCGGTATAAGAAATCATATTGCTCCTGCCGAAGAAAAAAAAAGTTATAAAATAAACACCATCAGGATAAAAAACATCTCCTAAAAGCATTAAATGGGTAAGTTTAATTTTTAAATGCTTCCTAGAATATATTCTTAGTCATTAGAACTGCATTCCATACACAATTTCTGTTATTCAGATATCGAGTGAATAGTCATTTGGCTTTCCCATTTTCACTTCAGATTTCGTATATTTGATCGTTCTGGTTTGATGGTGTAGCTATTTGCCGCCAGGGGCAGCTGCTGAAATTGTCGCTTGGGGCGGTCTCTGCATTTGTTCTCAAAACCATCAACGATAATTTAGAACTCTTAAGATATTTTGTTTTTCCAGGTGCTGTTTTATAGATGGTATAAAATGATTTCTTAAATGCAAAATAAATATTTGTAGTTCTTAAATTTTTTTTAAGGTTCCTTATATCAATTAACCATAAATTTATTTATATTATTTTATGTTTTGAATCTTTACTGTCACTTCTTCCTTCTATTTTCCGAGCACAATGCAAATTAAAATTAGTTCACATGCATGAGGATTTTAGAGTGTAAGACAGAGCGTGTTCTGCCTCTCGAGGCCATGTTGCTAGGTAATCTTAGATAAGATTTTTAGTCTTCAGTCTTGTATTATAATTACCAATATTTGAATATTCACTCAGGTTTTTGAACCAACTTCTCATTAGTTGATCTATGTAGCCTTTGGCTACTAGTTTATTTAAAGTAAATTTTACATTTGGCTTACTGTTACTTTAAGTAGTCTCACCATAAGTGGTTGGCTGAGTTGGAAGCACATTTGGTGCTTCCTGTTCTTATTTAGTTTTGAATAAAAGATCTTTTACACAATAAAGAAGTGTAAAAGATCCTTTATTTAAAACCACTCAAGTTCCAGTTGTTACTTAGTGATAATTTGCTGCCTAGAATTGGGTGACTACTGAATGTTTGCAAATCCCAAATCTTATAGTGCCACTTGAACAAATCCAAGGACCATGTCTCAAGAAAATTCAATGTTTAAATCTAGCCCCCTCAACATCTCAGGTACCACTGCCACCAGCAAATCTCATCGAGGGCGAGGGATTTGGATACGATGCAAGCGTTAAAAAAAAACCTGCAGTGACTTTTGACGGCAGAAGTTCCATAACCACATTTTTAGAACACCAGGACTCACATTTCCTGCTATATCCAACTGGAGAAATATAAAAATAACTGTTAACAGTATTCCAGATGTTAAAAGATTCCTCGAATTCTTTAATTTTTTACGTAGATGCTCAAGATGTAGGGCATATTGCTCCATCATAGATGAAGACATCCTAGAAGCGTTCCATTGGCAGTATCATATAGTAAAGTTATTTAGCAATCTCTCTGAATAGCACTGTTCCAGAGACACCAATAACACGCATTTCTGTGTCAGTTTAGACTTGATGCAGGATAGAAGTGACTTCCAGAACATATTGTCTTCTTACTATTCTCTTACACATGAGTTAAAGTAAATTTCCAGAATTCTGGGGAATTTCTGCACTTTTATTCTTGATCTAAATCAAGCATTTTGGATTGAGATCTAAGTGAATCACACTGTAAAATTTACGATAAGCCTCTGAACCAAAGGCAAGGACCTTAATGATTTGCCCATTTAGATTGCAATTATACATAATTAAACATCTGAACCACTTTTTAATGAGTTTCACATTTAGTAATCCTGCTGCTAGATTCATTTTTTTTTTTTTTTTCAAATTTCGTTGTCCAGATGTTTGCCATACAAACATTTTTAGATAAATAATCTTCCATGTTATCTTTGAAATAAGAATCATTTGTGCAAAGAACAGAAATGTCAAAGACATATGTAAGATAAAAAATATGAAAGCAAACTTCTAAATTTAATTGGGCGTAACCTCTTTTATTTTTTATTTAATAATAACTTTTTCTAACTCGAACTGAAACTTTTCGACTGCCTCCATTCTTCCTGTGAACTACTGCGAAACTCTTCCTTTTTCGCTATAGTATAAAAATTGTTCTGGGAATAGGCATGATTGGAGTGCCAAGTGAATTATGGCCACAAATGGGAGTTTAAAATCAAAAATGGAATTAAAACAGCCTCGACTGCCGAGTTCTTAGTCTTTACGAATGCTACATCCTAAGTATGAAGTATCTACACTAAACAACGTTGCTACGCTTCTACGTCTCAGTGTTCTTAAATCAGTGCTTCCGAAATTGTGCTTTTATTACATATATATAGGGAAAATATATAATTGAAAGAGAAAAATAAATATTAGTGCTCAAAATATAAATGGTTATTTGCACTGAAATCTGGACTTACCAGTGTCTGTAGTAGGCAGTGCCGCTGAGCTCTCGCATATTTAGTGGTCTGGAAAACGTCAACCCTTTCGTCGCATCGTGCTTGCTCGATCAAGTCACTGAGGGCGACGTAGATGCCGCTCCTGTCTCCGCCACCGCTGTAAAAATACAAAAGTAATGTGCAGATTGTTTCTGGTAGACTTATTTAATGAAAGAGTGCCATGGCATCATTATAAAAAAATCTGATGGAGGTACCACATGATTTCCTTGTATGACCCATTAAATTACATGCATTTTTGGCTACACTTCAGTTAAACTTATCTTCTGAAATTATTCTAAATTAACTGATTTCTCAAGGCAAATAATATATATATGTGCAATCAAACATCTTTCAATTTTATTTTCGCATAATCGAAAGTATAGGAATCGGGAAAGTATATAAGTATAGGAACTGAGAGACAACAATAAAAGTTAAATTAAATTTTTTTATTGGGGGGAACATTTTTTTTTTTAAAATTTGCCATTGCCAAAGCATTTTGTCTTTTAAAACACTTCTGCAATTGGAAGTGTATGACTACAACCAACGATTACTAAAATACAGGCCGAGTGATGAATTTTAAGGGGGGGGTATGGGTATATATGTATACCTTTCGTTCTGATGATTGCAATAAAAAAGGGAAGTGCACAACTAGATGTTACAGCAATCCCTTGCACAAAATGTTAACGTTCTATGGATAATCAGTTTTACGTTATGAGAGATGCATGCATATCTACGCAGAACACTCAAAATACATTTTGAATCCACTTTTGAGACATTTTAAAAACTGCTTTGTAAACCATTTTGGGAATATGGTCCTTTGCTTTGTTCGTACAGGCAGATGTCATGCAAAAGAATTGTCCAAATAGATTCGGGAATGATCAAAATGGATATTTCTATTGAAATGCCAAACCCGAAAATTTTTCGCAATTATACTATTTCCTTTACTTTGTACAAGGAAGTAAAAAAATAATTTTCTTTGGGCAGTCTTGATGTGTGAAGTTTCTCTTTGTCTGCTGAGTGTGTTGAAAGCTTGGATAGGTACAGCCACTTCTCGCCTCCGACTATAGTTAGCGAGTTTCCATCCCTCCCAGTGAGTGACTTTCAGGAAAATAATACAGTACAAAGTCCGAAATCCGGACGTCCATTATCCGGAATGATCTAAAATCCGAACCTCAAAGATACAAACTTTTTTTTTTTTTTTTTTATATGCTTTACGCATGCACATTTGATTTTTCCTTCCATAATAAAACATGTGGAGATTTTCACTTAAAAATTCCGATTCTTAATTTTACTTAGGCACTAAATAAAATACCTCGTTATGGAAAAACAATCATGTAAGCATAAATTTGCGAGATTAATAATTTGGCTGCATATCTGAGTGTCTGCTTGGTATACGTATCAAACCGAAACATTCACCTATTTTATATCCCTGATGCCTAACTGGCAAGTCATTATTTATTATATTTTTCTTTCATCACCGCATGTTTATCAATACATTACAGATTCAGTAATAACTCATGTAGTGATGTCTAAACTTTTTTTTTTATATATTAGTAATTGAATAACAAGAGTATGACAACCTTTTATGCTAACATTACGCTTAGGTGGTGATTATAGATTTTTAAATACTCTAAGAAATGTTGACGAGGAAAAATTCAACAAAAATTTCTTTTCATATGCTAAAAATAGATTTTGTTAATGAAAGTCATAGGCCAAAGATTGCATTTAGTTCTATTTTAATTAGGAGTAACTGATATCACCATAAACCCAGAAGCAACGGCAGAACGGCAGGGAAGGCAAAATTTTTGAAATTTGGGGCAGCACCGAGAGGCAAAATTAAGGAATGAGAAGCTTTTTATGCAAACTTTTCGTAATCGGAAAACATGCACGACCACCAGCATTTAGAGGAGTAACGATTCTCTCCGTTATATATCGTGAAAATAAAAGAGCATGGATGACACAAGCGTTAATGAATGATTGATTTGAAAATCATTTTATACTTGAGGCTCGGCAACATTTGAATTCGGTTGGTTTATCTGATGACTCAAAAATAGTCCTGATTGTAGACAACTGTTCGGCTCATACTTCACTTAATCTGCTGTGTGGAGCTTTGCAAGATCGTGGAAGGATACGTCCAATGAGTCCGGATTACGGACTTTGTACTGTATTCCATAAGCATGTGAAAAATGCTCGGATATAGATATGGATAATTCAATGGACTGTCATAGTTTTAAATCAATCGGTTCAGCTATTTAATATGCCATTATGATTTATGGTGCTTCGGGTAACGATTTATTGTGTAAAAGTCATCATCATAGTGAAGATGCACTTAGTGACTTTGCTCGTTATTTAGGACTTTGGTAAAGTTTGCAAGTGGTATTCAGGAATGTGAGGACCATTTTGAGAGACTCAAAAAGGATATGAGCTTCCCTATTTCCAGCTGTTCTTTGTATGATTTGCAAATGAGGCACAACTTTCTAAAATATAATATACAAGATAAGTGTGTTTTGCTTAATGTTAATGGTGAGGAAATTTATAGTACTGTTAGAAAATCTTTTTTGAATAGTAATATTCATGAAATGTAATGTTGTTTTTAATGATAATGCTGTGTCAAGTACTAGTAAGCCCTGTAAGGTTTATCTGAAAAAAGAAAGTTCTATTAACAATGCAGAAATGATGGCCGAGAATTACAGCTAGACCAAGCAAGTTAGTAAAATGCAATGTGGAATTGCCTTTATGTAATAAATTTTGTAACCTAACAATTGACAGTTCTAAAGATGGTAATATTAATGATTGTACTCTAAATTTTTATGATCATAATGGGTGTTCAGACTGGCCAGGATGGTAGTATTACTGCTCAACATCCGAAAATTAAACCAATAATGGTTCACCTTAACATTAAATTTTCAAAAAAAAAAAAAAAAAAAAAAAAAAAAAAAAAAAAAAAAAAAAAAAAAAAAAAAAAAAATTAAAAACTGATGCAGGCAAAGTTAATGGAGATTTTCTTAAAGTTTTACCGAAAACGGAAAATGATCATTGTGAAATCAATAAATACTTATATGATAAAGAAACTGATCATTGCCAAAATTGAAAGACCATTTAAAGTTTTTTCTAAAGGCTTGCCCATTGACGTATTTACTAAGGAAAGAGAGGAAGAATTTGTTAATCCGGATTTTAAAGTTAAAGAAGTTGCCCAGATGTTTAGATTAAAGACTATAAACAGCCAGTGTCGTTATTCCAGATACAAATAAAAAAATGAACCGGGTGTTGAGTAGATTTATGAAATTTTTAATATCACGTAATTTTAATGTATCAGTTGCACCCTACAAGATTAAAGGAGGAGTTCTTCAGTGTCACAATTGTCATTTATCACAATTGTCACATTGTTATCACTTCAGCCATTCATCTAAAGTATGCAAACTAAAGTTTGCAAATGTGCCGGTCCACACAAAATCAGATCATTCACTCAAAAGTTTGTATGTGGTGAAGTGCTGAAAATGTGCTGTTGTAGCAAAACCGGACTCACGGCCAGTTATTGCGGTTGTTCCAACTGAACACATGTCCAACTATCGCTGATGTTCTAAATTTCCTTTGGGACCTAGGAAATGTGAATACTACACACTCGAAAGGTCCAGTAAGGCAACCTAAGATTACTTCTATTGCCAGTTCTTCTAATATCACTCAGAGTACTTCATATGCCAATGTGCTAAAAATTCAGGAAATAGAGAATTCAGTCAATAAGCTTTTTATACTGCTTTCCATTTTCGAAGATTTTTTAGTTCATGCACTGTTGCAAATAATGTGTATGTATTTCTAAATATTGTAACATGAAATTCAAATGGTTTATCCATGAAGATTAATGAACTTCAGGGATCCTCACAAAATGGAAGACTCCGAAGTCGACCCTCACAAAATGGAAGACTCCCAAGAGGAAATGGCGTAACTATTCTTATCAAATGCTGCATTCCTGATTATCCTTTTTACAATATCATAGCTTTCAGCCATCAAAGTGTCAACTATTACACTCGCAATAAACACTGCTATAACATACACTTTTGTCTCCACTTACATCTCTCCAAATCAGAACACAACGTTAGTTACTATCGAGGTGAATACATTATTAACACTTAGATATCATTTTAAGATAGGTAGAGATCTCAGAGCTCGACACCATGCGTGGAACTGCAGTAATTGTAATGGCATAGGGCGCGCAATTTATGACTCTGCTGTGTTATGCATAGCATCTCCAAGAACCCCAACACGATACAGTTTTGGGTCCACAGGAATCATCAATTTCTTCCTGCTCAGAAATAACAGTGAGGTAACACAGTAAGTAACAGTGAGGTAACAGATAATTCTCTGTTGGTTGTGTTGTCTTCTGACCACAACCCGGTCAGAATTATCTTAGATATCAGTTAGTGTATTACACCAGATGAAAGAGCTTTTACTATAGACTGGCCAAAGTTTGCCAAAGCTCTGAACGAGATTCACTAGACATTACCAACTGTTCACATGGCGAATGACATTGATAGTTTGTTTAAGAGCTTCAGTGATTCTGTGATACATGCTCAAAACTATGCAGCCAAATATGTCAAAAACCCCAAAATTAAGAGGAGCAATGAACTAAAAAACTAGGTGAAACAAGGAATGCTGCTAGGAGGCAATTTCTGGCACATCTATTTAAATCGACTCAATGATGCTGCCAAAAAACAAACAAGCACAAAACAACTGGACAAATTACTTAAATTCTCTCTCTACAGGGGATTATTCCATCTACAGAGCTATCTCTAGATATAAGAAATACTACAACAAAATCCTGCCCCTTAAAGGACTAGACAGGATCCATTACAATGAAACTGAGAAAGCAGAACTTTTAGCTAGGCATCTGGAATCTCAGTTTTGCATAAACAACATTCATGACACAGCAACAGAACACATAGTCTGTGATTTCCACTGTAGATACCCACCAAACCCACTCACAAACAGCATTTTTCCAATTCTTCCATTGGAAGTTTTTGGCTACATTAAAACCCTGAGATACAAGAGAAGGCCTGGCTTAGAGTCACAAACATAATTATAAAGATGTTCCCCCTTAAACTGCTATTCAAGCTTACAGATATCTTCAATCTCATTCTGAAATGGCAATACTTTCTCGAGGTATGGAAAATGACTACCATAATGCCGATCTTGAAGCCTAGTAAATCAGCCACGGAACCAGGATCGTGTAAACCAATTAGCCTGTTATCCTGCTTGAGTAAATTAATGGCATCTGTCATTCTTACAAGAACCATCTGGACACCAAGAACATACTCACTTCTCGTCAATTTGGATTTTGTATGAACCTTTCCACATCTTGCCAGCTCCAGTGTGGTGGAGCATATCTTGGAAGGTTTACAGAACAATAAATTTACCTGATTGCTCTTCATAGACATAGCTTTCGATCATAGCCAAAGCTTTTGATCATGTTTGGATGGACACACTTATTTACAGAATGCATAAACTTGGGTTCTCTTGTTACATTACATGCATAATTAAATCATACCTTACAAGTAGACACTTTGTCATTCACATTTCAGATAATTACTCCACATGTTGAGCTATCTCTTAGCAGTGTTCCACAGGAGTCTTTATTAAGCCCCACATTACTTAACATTAATATAAATGACATTCCTCACACACTCTACACTACACTAGCAGCATATGCTGATGATACAGTGATCCTTGTACAAAACGCATATCATAGTTCAGTCATTCAATACTATCAGAATCGCATACACATATTAGAGACCTCGTTCAGAAAATGGAAAATCCAAATTAATGCAGGCAAGACAATTGCTATCTTATTCACATGAAAAAAAAAAAAAAAAAAAAAAAAATTGGGGGGGGGGGGGGGAAAGAACTTGCAATTTTACGATACAACACTGCAATGGGTTAAGCAAGCCATTTATCTTGGGGCGATCCTTATAAATTCTCACACGGCCCCCACACCTATATTCTATTATCCAGAAGTTTTGAGTACATAAAACCATATTTGCTACCCTCTAATTGCTTGAAACTGTGTTTTATCTACCGATGGCAAGTTACTCATTTATAAATCCATTTTATGTCTTATATGCTATGCCTGTCCAGTCTGGACTTAGTCTTCAAATCTAATAGAAAGCAACTACAAACTGCACAGAACTACGTTCTGAAGCGTATCACGAACTCACCCTGATATAACAGAAACAATACAATTCACGATGAGCTAAATATTGTTAAGCTCAGAACATTCTATTATCATCTGGTAAGAAACTTTCCTTTAAACTCAAGGAATCTTAATAATACTAAACTCAGAATATATAATTATGATTTTAAAGATATTAACAACAAAAAGAGGCCTATGGCCATTTTAACCCAAGTTTATTACTGAAATGGTTACTTATTTTATTCTTTATTCTTTAATCTTTCTATGTCTTGTGTTTTCTTTCCACTGTTTTGTATCATTGATGTTCTGTTTCTCGCCTATGCATTTTGCATTTACTCAAGACACCGTGCCTAGGCACCTTGGTGTGTCCAAACACCCTACCACCAAGAGGCATTGGCATTCTAAGGGTTAACATGCATGCCGAGCATGCGTCGTTGACAGTCTTACACCCTTGGTTTTATTCGTCCCAACGTCACAGTTGCCGTTTTCATTGGAGTATGCGCCACTGTTCTATAAGATGTAGCCAGTTTTACCGTAGAAGTGCGTCTTATAACACTGGGAAATGCAGTCAACACATTCATTATTTAAAGCAAAATATATCTTTTTTGTTTACTGCTTATGATAAAAACTTAGTTGGTGCACTCTGAAAATTGGCAGATTAAGTGGCTGCTTATGTCCCCTGTACATGGAGTTAGTCCTGCTTATACTATAATGATGTTGACAATAAAGTATTTACTGTATCATATTCAGTACATACAGATTCAGTATTGAAAACAACAGAATGCTATCAATAATACTTGTTATTTTTAAAGCATTAATTTTGCTAGTGCTTCATTTTTGTCCTCAAAATAAAAGTTTGCAGTTACATATCCATAACTTTAGCTAAACACTTTTTTGTTTTTGATATTACACCTCAAATATAAAACCCTTAAAAAAAATTAAAAATTTGCTTCAAATTCATGTATTTTATCCCTAATTTGCTAATAATAAATTACAAAGTATTACACAATACCATAGAATTAAAATTATTATTAAAGGAACTTTTTAGAGTAAATGTGCTAATTTTATTTGTTTAGTTTTCCCTCAACAGGTAAAACAAATTGGTAAAATAAATGATGGAAGTTAAATTCAAGATGCAAGAAGTGATAACATTTCAATACGTAAAACATAACTTTACGCAGAAATCGCAGTATGTTATAACATTTTAATTATAAGGGTGAAAATGAATTTTTGGGTAGGAATATTTTTACATTTATAATTAATTTTCTACCCAATCTTTATTTGAAGTGTAATGTTCTAAAAATACATGAAGTGTCATCATGTCATAGGATATTTCAGTTTTATGAATGACTAATATTTAAGTTATTTTACCTTTTAACTTGTCTAACCCTAAATGTATTTCTAATTTATCATGACTTATTCTTTAAGGTTCTTATATTATGTACCAAACAGCTACAAGTTATTCATCTACACAATCGAAATCTGAGAAAAATCTATTTGAGGCTAACCTGCAGTGTACGGTAATAGGTCCGGACGAAGGCTGATTGTTGTGGTGCTGTTGCACATGCTCGATGGCCACTATCAGAGAAGCTAGATTATCTGGCACACCGGAACCACTTGAAGACCAGTTAACTAACTGGAATTGGCTCAGCATGTGCTTTTGGTCATCCTACAAGACAAAAACTGAATTATAGTTTCTAAAAGTGAAGAGACATTATATGACATTCTATTCCTGCATAGATCAGTTTTAAGCATAAAGAATGAAGAGATGACAAACATCAATGCTAATAATTTACAGCTTATGATAGTAATGCATTTTGTAAATATTTACGATAAAGTACTCAACATCCTCTGCCTAAAGTTAAATAGAAATTTCATACAGAACCATTTACAAAATGCCTACATAAAGGTAACATTATTCCATTTATATTACAAATAGGAAAAACATGAAACAAGCATGCAACCAGCCCATGTTATCTTGAGGATTTTACCAACGTTTCAAATCTTTAACCACTTATTTATAATATAAGCTTTAGAAGAAGAAGCAATCTGCTAAGAAATAAATTTTTCTTAATGAAAGCAAGTATCATGTTTTCATACTTCTTTTAAAATTAAATGATTGTATCTTAAATTTTAAATACAGAGCAATAGTTATGATGGAATGAGAAAATTCAGAATTTGATTGCAGAATTCGAAAATAGATAAAAATGCTCTAGTTTTGGGTCTGAATTTTTATAACATAGCAATGAACAGAAAAATGATTTGTTTTAAAAACTTGCATCTTGGTGTTTAATAACTGTGCTAATTCGTACTTTTAATTAAAACTGTGCATCTTTATGTTTCACGCTGTAAGCAATGGAAGTACTAGGATTTTCTGTTAAACCTTATATATTTTTTGATATTTCTGAAGAACTGAATGCGATAAATGATGTTTCATAAGGTAATTAGGTCTATACTTTACAGCTATGAGATAATTTAATTTCTTCTTCAGGAGTAAAAAGAAAAGATTGATTTCCCTAGCGCGTGCGCATGATAAGCAAGTTCTCTGCTGCGTAATACTTTATACTTAGTTAGCCAGAGTCAATGGTGAGTATTGCATGTAAGAGAGAAGTGCAAAGCGCTGTGTAATATTATGTTTCTACTCTGCTGTTCAACGTCTTCATATAGTTAAAATAAATGTTTGTTATGTAGACGTCATTTTATTCTTCACAGACATTAGTCAGGTGGATCAATAAAGTCTTGAAACGAATAAAAAGTTAACATATTCAGCAGAATTACTGTCTGCAGCATCATTAAGTTCAGGGAAAATGTAGAGATAGTTGCCAGCATGTTAGCCAGGCATAGTTATAGATACTTTGTTGAGTCCTCCAGATCCATATGATGAAGATGATTTTGCAACTAGTCATGACCACTTTTAAGATAAAAATTCGTCACACTCACAACTCTAGGTACGTTATAGGGAACTGAAATTTTCAAGAACTTAAGAACTTAATATATCTCAATATATACCTATGTGCTGAGCTTAATAAGTCTTTTAATAGCAGGAAAGTCAACAATAAAATGTGATAGAGGTAAGTCAGAGCTAGCTTTGATTAAGCTATCTGATAGATCATCTCCATTGCTGCTACAATGGCTGAGGATTCATTGTAAAGAAGTGTGTCTTCTACTGCCTGAAACAGAGTCGAGAGGTAAGTCAGAACTAGTTTTGACTAAGCTATCTGATAGATCATCTCCATTGTTGCTACAATGGCTGAGGATTCATTGCAAAGAATGTGTCTTCTATTGCCCGAAACAGAATCGAGAGCGATCTGATAGTTAAAAACTTTTTTTACCAGTAAGAAAAACGCGTAAGAAAATGATCTCTTACATAAATAACAAACAAGCTCTCAGATACAGGCTATTAAACTTTTGAAAAGTACTTTTGTGGATCAAACAGTTTAAAAATTATCTGTAAAGATGTGTATACATGTACATAAAAAAATTTATACATTTTATATTTTAAGCTTCTACAGTGGTGAGGGAACTGTACTAAATCTATTGAAAAGTCATAGTTGTAGGTTGAAAGCATTTGAAAAAGGCTAGTACCAAACAAATTCTACATCTGTCGTAGAGAAATTTCTGCATTGATGTTAATATTATTTTGAGTGCTTTGCTTTTTGTAGAGAAAAAACCTAAAATTTTATCCATATAAAATTTTCTAATAGAGTGAAAGTTTATGGACGTTAGGATTTCAATAGTTATCAAGCACTTAACGTTTTGGCTTATTGAACTCAGTAACATGTAACTTAATAATTTTTTTTAGATGGAATTCACTTACCTCAATGTCTGTGACAATAAATTGCCTGAGGATGTAGTGCGAAGTTTGGCTTGAGCTCTTAAGCTTCACACGCACTGTTTCGTAAATTTCTTCCTCTTCTTCGTCCGGCCAATACTGGGGGCACTTGTTCTATAGAGAAGAATATTTGATTTTCAAATCGCAGTTTTAGATTTCTAAAGGACATATTAATGCCCGAACACTTCTTACATTAAGAGGTACATTCGATTATAAAAGTACCGTTTTTTAGATTTTTAAAATCCATATTGATACATTGACATAAACACATATGACTGAGTAACTACTTGCATGAAAACAGTCATTTAAAATTTCTCATGTGAAAAATTATGTCGATCTTTGAAACGAATGAAATGTTATTCGCAATATAATGCCAGCATTTATTGTCAAAAATTTGTTCGCATACCAAAGTTCATTGCAAGTATTTCAAAATATATTTTTTCTTAATGTTTTAAAATTATTTGTGTCTTTTCACTTTTATTAAAGTAAATTTCTTAAATAACAACTTACAAATTAACTCTCACATTTCCCACAATGAAATCAAAATTATATGTAATGGATATGAATGTACGATAAATGCATTAAAGGAAATTTTCAAATAGTAAAGAAAACAGTTTTTGAAATATTGTCCTTAAAAATACGGACTCTCAAAAGACGCTTTATCTTGATGGACTTAAATGAAAACTGGCATATTCTTTAGTTCTGATAATTCTTTATCACAGAAATAAAGAAACAAGTAAATTGAAATTAAAAACAGTTCATTAATTTACTTCATTGATTACAATCCTTTTACAGAAAAATCCAATTAGTAACATCAAATTTCCACTGTAACATTTTATATCTCTATGTGTTGAATTTTATGCTTTGTAATTATTCTTAAACTAAACAATTTAATCAACATTGATATGGCACACAGCATTTAAAAACTTCATTACTTTATTCGTATGTCTCACTGGGAAATAAATAACAAAAAGCTTAAAACTGCATTGTAACATGTTTCACTCTATGGAGGAACAGCTGATATCATATAATGTATAGATTACAGTGCCCACCGCTTATTAAACTCAGCCTCGTATCACGTTAAAATTTCCAGAGACATATTGCAAGACCCAGCTGCGGTCAAATAGCTTCCCCACAAAGCGGGTTTAGGGTTGCAAGAAAAAGACAAAGAAAGGCACAGTTGCCAGATTTGGAACAAAATCGCCCATTTGGCGACAAAATTGGCAATATGCCATAGGCAGAGCGAGAGCATTCTAGAACGAATATTTATTGGTTTCTCCCCAGAATGTTCTCAAAGGCAGGTCAGAAAGCTATATAAATCCTGCATATACTCGGAGTAGTAGTGTATCTTGAGAGTAGATCAAGTTCATAAGTAGTAACTTGAGTTCAGAGATTAGAGTGAGAATGACTGAACTGAGTCGGGAACTGTACTTGGTGCTTTTTGCCGTGAAACTATCTTCACCATTGTAATCTGAAGGCTGCGTTGCTGATTGTTTCACAGAGTCGTAGCTAGGGTTTTCAGCGCCCAGTGACAACTGAAGATTTCGTGCCCCCTACTGCTTGCCAAGGATAGAAACATTTAATTCTAAAATGTCATAACATCAGTTTGGCGCCCCTTGGATTCTGCACCAGGGGACAGATGCCACCCTTGCCCCCCTCTAGCTGCGCCCCTGTTGTTTCAGCTTGTTTAATGTAGTCTTTTCAATGACACTGTAATGCGTCTTTGGAACTGTACTATGTAATGTTGACGAATAAACTGGGATTTGGTTATTCATCAAGTGTTGTCATCAATCACTTTAAGTCCAGAAACTCGTAGAATGCGACAATACTAATCAACAGAAAAAATTAAAATTCATAAAATATTAAATACATAAAATATTAAATTCATCTATGCCGCTTATAAAGCTCAGACTGGATAAAGTCTGATTATTCAGATCCAGAATAAACTATTCGGAGCTGATAAAAACTGTTTCCAGTTCATTCATTTATCCTTCAATAATGTAATACTTCAATAAATGGGTTTAACAGAAATTTCAGACAGTGTAGTTAGAACTAAGACCAACTTGGACATTGTTTGCAAATTTCTTTGTGCGACTAGAGTTGAGAGCGATATAATATTTTTATCTTATAATTAACAAAAACAGTCCTGTAGAGGCACTGGAAACAAGTTCTTTGATAATAAATGAGAATGTTTCCTTAGATTAAAGAATAGGTGGTGCTTGAGTGAACACTGGTTCTCTTTCTCGAACACCAGTTGATAAGAGATGGATTGTGTTATTAACACGCAGTATGGATGCAATAATTAAAAAGAGGCCAGTGGTTATTGAAAAAAATGAAAGCCTTGATGTTTAAAAGAAATCAAGAATTTAACTTTACGATAATAGCAAGAATTCATAGATGACAAGTACTTTTACTAATTTTCTTTTGAAATGGGACAGACAACTGAAAAACAAGAAAATAGTTTTACTATTAGATAATTATGCTGCACACTTCCCTGATATCATTTTGAAAACATTGGCAGATGCTATGTCACCAATGTTCAGGGAAAACAAGATAAGTTGTTCTCATAAGCTACAACTGAATTATTACCATGTTTAATTTATATCGGAAGCAAATTGTGCTAATTGCTTAGGGCGGCGAAAAGAGCCTGGCTTTGTGGTAACAACTATAATAGACTTTTTGGAATGTGACAGATCGTCTGTCATGCTCAAATAACTACTTTTTACACACAATGTTGTCCATCTGGTTAAGAAATGTGCTAGATAATATTGCAGTGCATGCTCATGTTGAATGTTGATTTAAGAAATATAAGCACTATGACAATTCCAAAAAGTCGAAGCTGTTAACTAGCTTTTATGAAGATGGCATCATAATCTTTTGAAAAAAAAAATGGAATGGTCTTTTGCAGACAAACCACGCACAAATCAGTAGATTAAGAAAAAAAAAAAAAAAAACATCACTATTACAACTGACGAGCCACATTTAATTAACCGTGAGTCACCTACAGCATTTGCTGTATAAGGTATTTCTCCCGCCTTCTTTGCCAGCCTTCATGGTGTAGTGGTCTGCACGCTCAGTGCGTAATTGAGAGATCTGTGGTTCGATTCCCGGCTAAGGCCTTGCTAATTTTTCAATCTCTCCTGCTTACAAAAATACCTAATTTCTATAAAGTGGTGTCCGAACTAAACGGGGGTTTTGGATGATGATTCTTCTCACCCAGGATTTGGCGATTGGGTTCCCTAAAAACCCCAGTTGCCCTTTAAAAGGAGGAGTATATAAGGTATTTCTCCTCCCTTCTTAGCGAGTCTTCGTGGCGTAGTGGTCTGCACGCTCAGCGCGTAATTGAGAGGTCCGTGATTCGATTCCCGGCGAAGGCATTGCTTAATTTTTGAATCTCTCCTGCTTCCAAAAATACCTAATGTCTCTACAGCTATGTTGCAGTAACATTACCATTTCATATTTGCCTATCAATACTGTTACTAATTTTGCATAATGTAACATGAACAGCCCCAAGAAATGCATATCTCTGCCGAAAAAATACGATTACAGGGAAAAGTCTATTTAACATTGAATTAAATGGCTTTCTCGCTATATTGCCAAAATATCACCAAAATTGGATGGTTTTGGCGCCTAATTTTTGTCGGCAGATTTGGTGAGAAATCGAAAAAAATATTTAAACTTGGCGACATTTTGGTCCGGTCCCTGTATGACTGCAATTGCTATTGTAAATGAATAACTGCAACTGATTTCTAAATGTTACTGTAACCATATTTGGCCCTCAGATGTAGCTTTAACCGTATATGCCTTCCAGTAATTTCGTTAAATGGAAGCTACTAGAAATTTCTTGGCGGCCGGGGGGGGGCTATATAAGACCAGGAAGAGCATCAGTTCTCTGTGTTTAGATCAGAGTTTATTTCAGAGTACTGAGAGATCTTCCTGCGAGCTACACTCTTTAGATGTACTTTGCATTTTGTTGTGTTTAACGTTCTCACTAGTTAGAAGCATTAACTACTGATAGTGCAGTATCATACTAAGATGAGCTGTACAAGTGCTTTTGTGGAAAGTTCCAGAACTCTATGTGCATTAAATCCATTACAATTGTATGCCCACAACAATATGTTATATTCACTCTAAATAGTAACTTGGGACTTCCTGTTAGTGAAATGCACTGATAAATTGAACCAACTGAGATATGTTATTGGTAATAGCTACTAAAGTGCAACCATCTTAACTGTCAAATATTTAAAATCTCACCAGATCTTGACCGAGTTCAGAAAGCATGACGAGTGTGGTGATGTGCTGTTCTTTGACCATCCGCCAGAAGTCCCAAATGGTTTGCGGCAGAGGGTCTTGTGTGATGATGAACGACAGAGAACGATAGTAACCCTAGGCAAAAAACAGTGCATGTAATCGTTACACATTTATGCATAAAGAAAGAAACTCCATAAAATGTAGAATATGAGCAGCCATCTACACTGACCAGATATTTAACCAACTAAAACGTCAAGAACTGTATTAGCAAACTTGTATATCAGTAACAATCAGTATCAGTTTAGTACTCTAATCCCATTAAACTTATAAAAAAGTTTCATTGTCAGTGATTTCTGTTTAAATAAAAATCTTGCGCATAATTTAATTTTATTTACAGATAACTTATGAAACTCTTAAGAGAGGATAAATATTCTATTTTCATTAGAATTTTTTTAACATGAGAAAACACATATTTTTTAACCTAATATTTTAGAAACAATTTTAATGAGAATTACATGCAAGAAAGGTTTTTAAATTCTCTTAATAATTCATAATAATCATTTATGCCAAAAACTGCAACTCTAGCACCAGCAGTAAAATAATAATACACACAGAAGGTTAAACATCTGGAGAGTGAAAACAACAAGTTAAAGCAAAGTTAATATAATTTTCAGCAGCAATCGCTCTTATTATCTATTAATATAATTGAATGTAATATAAATGAAGATTATGTGGATTTCTACACATTTGTTTTGCAATTAAAAAAAGAAATATAAAAAGTCTCTAAAAACTAAGAAATATTAAGGTAAAATTAAATGAAATTTGAAATTAACTTCATTCAAAACAATTCCAAATTTCATCAAAAAGATTTAGCTTGTTTAGTTAATGACTTTAAGCCTAATCCAATATTTCCTAACACTTTTAACATTCTATTAACTTAATTTTTGAACTTTTTTTAATATTTTTGCTGATAGATGGCACTATCATCCCGTTCGCTTTACTGCAATTACTCTTCTAAAGCATTTCACATGTTATAACTTTAAAAATAATTTCTAGGACTATATTCTGCATCTTATTTCATGACTTATATTTCACTTATTATTTGTGTTTATTTTGTATATTTCTTAGCATTTACATTGAAATCTACTCAACCAATCAGATGTCACCTCATGCATATGTGACAAACTGGTCTCACCTACTTCTACATCTCCGATATTGTCTACCTAGACTTACATTCGAAATCACACTACTTTAAGCACTCATAGAGGCAAATACTTTCGACAGACGAAATGCACGATAATCATGGCAAACAACAAGAGTTTGAGAAAGTCGTAGCTTTCCAGTCTAGCAAATTTCTTTGCTGCTGATGAAGAAGGACCTGTTTACCCTTAAAATCAATTGAGTTTTTTTGTTCTCTTCCAAATGCAAGGTTGTTTCTTTACTAATTTTAAGCCAACAACTGGACGTAAAAAAGGAAATGTGAGTAGTGAATTAAAATTATTGATTTTCATTGCGTTAAAGTTATGTGCTAAAAGTGCCTATTTTACTACTGTGATGATTATTTCAGTGCTTATCAAATGACAAGTTTAAATAGCACATATTTCTATGAATATGATATTGACCTATGTCAACTTCTACAACTAAGTAAGAAGGTCTCAGCTTACCTGAATATGAGATGCATTGATATAGGACGATTGATCAGTAATGGAAGGCAAAAGGATGACTCGGTTCATGTCATCTGAAACGTAAAGAGTTGTATTAATATAATGAAATAAATCATTGGTTATTAATATATAATATAAAAGTAGAAGCGAATAAAATTGTTTATAATTGAATAGCAACAATGAAGCAAGCTTTCAATATAAAAAATTAGTTTTATTTTAGTGCTGTTATCAGTTCGTAATGTAAGTGAATTTGCAGGACTAAAGTTTCCAAGTTTAAATACAACATTATTCTTCAGTGCAGGAGTGAAAATGATGAAAAAGCATCACGTGCTTAAGTAACAGAGAAAGCTTAAGAGACTTTCTCTGTTCTTTCTCACAAGAAGTTTAAATGCAACAGAAAAGTTCTAGGAGATTCTAACTAAATGATAGAAAACAAAAGCCCTGGCACTGTTTATTGGCAGAAAAAATGAATGGAAAGCAACTCTGAAATTGGGAGTAAAGAGGAACTGCAACAGGATCTTTGTGTATGCCATAAAGAAAAGGGGGAAAAAACTGACTACGATGTTATGGTTTTTGTATTGATTTATTTAGTTTGCTATTTTTAATAGAATTGTTATTAAATTATTTCATTTCCCCATACAATGCTGCACATGACTTATTTGAAGAGAAAGCTGTGCCGGAAAAATTAAAAATACAGGAGCACGCATATTTAATAGATAGCTATCTCGTAAAAAAATACCAGAATATGTTCGTGCGTGATTTAAAAAGCTTATAAAAGGAGGAAAACATCTCAATTCAATAGTTGTTTTATAAGTTTGTTTTGAAAACTGTTGTTGCTTACTGTAGCGAATTCACGGTGAAATCACATTAGCTTTCTCTATGTTTCTTTGTTTTGAATTAAGTTCTGTTGAACGTTTGAGTAGTTTTAAAGATAACTGCTGTGAGATATTGCAATATTGTACGAATATGTGAGGAAATTCAGGCCTTTTGTTTCATTTGTTGTGATAATAATAAATTTATTCACTTTTCATCAGACTTGTGCATTCAATTTGTTACGAACCCATAGGCAGGCAACAATACTATACATAGTAGCATAATTGCGCATAGTATGACTGCTTCATTTATTGAATGATGTGTTATTGGATACTCAGCGATACGAAGCTGCATAATTTAAGTTTTCCACTGTTACATGAGCAAAATGGCACATTTTCCTCCTGCATTCAGACTCATACGCATGATAAAAAATATATGAAAGACAAATTATAATTTAAATTAGCAGTAACCCATTAATTCCCCCTCTCTATTCCAAAAATAATAACCTTTTTCTGCACTGCGTCATTTTGAGACTAATCCATATTATATACTGTATTTGACGGCATATAAGACGCACTTTTTTTGCTAAATTTGGTCTCAAAAACGTTACCTGCGTTTTATACGTGAAGGACACAGGTTAACTTTCAATACTGAATGCTATTTTTAGCCATTATTTTATTCTAGACACATATAACTTTTTCTACATCTACATGTGTGTGGCCTTCTAAATAAGGGTGCGTGTTATATGCCGTCAAATACGGTAACTATTACAGAACTTTCATTACAGTGAGTGTCTGCTTCAATTTAGGAACCCTTTTATTTTCTCATTTCAATTTGGCTATGTCCTCATCCTCTCTTAAAACTACTATTTATTAATCGGCAGTAATTAATCCGCATTATGGTATTATGTAAGAACAGCATTGCAGGTACTTTTTAATCCAATCACTGTTTAAAATTCAAACAAAAGGAACCAAGTCTATCAATACCACTGTTACTAATTGAGCAATCCTTTTTTCCCTGCTCCGCTTTGCTGATGATAGTAAGCGTAATTTGCTGCTCTGCTTCCTCCTTTGTATAAAAAGATGTAAGCTGGACAAAACTGTGGAGTATTCTCGCAGCCATGATGATGAAGATGCGCAATTGAAAATATGTACTGCAGGATTTAAGTGTCCAGAAATAAACTGTGTTTTGTTATTTTCAGCCATGTCTACTATTTTTTTAGTAATGCTGTGTCTGTATTCTTGAATAAAAATCTTTCTTCTTCTACTGAAAGATATTATTTCTGTGTTTGCAATGCTTCCAGGAACTCGCATGCAAGCATATCGTAAATTTATAAACTAATTAGTAACATATATTTTTTTTTTAAATTAAGAAATTTTCCCCTTACTTTGTTAAGAATTTAATATAAGAACTTCACTCTCAGAAGTTTTTATTATAAAATTTCTATACAAACACTGAGGTATTAGAAAACCTGGTAGAGATGAAAAGGTAATTGTGTCATTTATTCTGTCCCTTTGAGCGTGTATCAGATGATAGACTCCAAAGAATTTCTGGAGCTGTTTCCTTCCTATAGAGAATTGATAATTTCTTACAATTTAGCTGTAAGACTGGTGAATTCTTACAGTTTAAAGGGATATAGTGTTATTTAATAGTTGAAGCCCGATAGACGTTGCTGTGTTTCTGAGGTAAAATTAAATTTTAAATCTTTGCAGACGAGCATTACAAAAATGCTCCCGGAATATAGTAACTCCGTTAAAACTTACGATGAGACACGACGAGAAGAAGTAGCAAGACAACAGAATTTCACCAATAATCGTACAAGTATAGTCCTACCACACTAATTATATAGCTTCGCTTTAATTTTTGATGGAGAACAAACATCTCAGGGAATGGAGCCCATAATTTCTCACTTCTCACATAAAAGTCTTAAATACTACTAAAATTTAAGTTTTGGATTACATTTTAATACAGCTTTTCATTAAAATTTGTTTTGTATTTCCAGTAAAATACAACTTCTGGTTGTCAGTTAAAGACTGTTATAGGTTTCATGAAAAGTACAACTTCCGGTTTTCCAGTTTTACCCCAAATCTTAACTTTTTATATAAATGTAGAAAGCTTAAGTAGGGAAAATGGATATATTTGGAAGTTCCACATAAGAGCTATCGTTGATTGAAAATTCACCACAGACAGACAGAAAAACATCATTGTAAAAGTAATCAAAACATGTCATAGGGACTTTTAATTTGTGGTTATTCATTTAAAACTCATTATCTAATTTTTGGAACCAATGTATATAGATTATCTAATTTTTGGAACCTTTCCTATCTATATGGAAAATATTACCTCCCTTACCTATGCATATAGGTTAGCAGGAGGGAAAATGTTGATACATTTCTCACATAAGCAGTTAAGAAGCTGCTATTCCCTCCAATATTTAGTGTTTCCATTTAACATTTCTGTTTGATGTTTTTCAATTCAAAATTTGGCATGTTATAAGCAAAAAAATCAATTGAGAAAAATTGGAATTTTTAAAAGAAAACTTCAAATTTTTCTTAACATGCAACACTTATTATTTTTACGAAAATTCACATGCACATTGCATATAGTATGTGTAAAATATTTTGTGAAAGTTACAAATAATTTCCAGATTTTTATGATACAATGTGAAGAAAAGTATGTTTTTCAACCATTTTGTAGTTTGTCCTCCAAATCCTATAGTCAAGAGAATTTTTACCAGGAAATGTGAGTTCAAGCATGCTATCCACAAGACTGCAATTACAGAACAATTCGTCCTTTCTTTAAATATTTGGAAAAAATGTTTAAAATCCAAAGTATTCAGTCACTTTAAGCTATACAGTGTAGTTTGTTGATACAGTGTAGTGTTCTCCAATGATAAAAATAAATTTATCTAAACCTGTTATTCACTCTTAATAATATCAGCACACATTATACCAGAGCTTAAATTGCGCCGGAGCTCTCCAGAACCCGGCTCCTGTATTCTTAAATTTGGATGTAAATAATAATTCTAATTATACTGAACAAAAATTCCAATAGAAATTTAATCTTGAAAATTTTATTTTTAGTAATAAAAAAAAATCTGAAAGTTTCCAAATTTTATATTATGCCCAAATGGGCTTTTTTTAAACTTAAAGACACATACATGTTTCGAGGGCATTTTGGCTAAGGCCACATTGCGCTAAAAATGTTTAAAAACAGCATATCTTTAGAATTTCCGAAGACAGTCTTGCGCACTGGAGGTAAAAATGTTTTATTCCGTACAGTGTTGCCACATTTGGATTTGAAATTGTGGAGTTTTTAATAAAAAAATTGCTAAAGTTTTATAAAATATGAAATAGACAATAAAAGAAATTTTAAATTCAGGTTTCCAAGTACCCATCTTCCAGTGGAGGACTATGTTACTCAAAATTTCATGACACTAGGTACCGTTGTTTTTTTCACAATGTGACAAACCTACATACATTCATGTAGATAATTTTTTAATTATTAATGATTTTATTAGTCATTTTATTTACTTATTTATTCTTGTTCCTCTTTCCTGATGGTCTTCCATAGGGTTCTGGAACTTCTAATTCTAGAAATTAAGCCCTGCTCTATACACATTTGTGAATTTAGCTTTAAGATTTAAAATTTTCTTTTAAAGAATGTAAGATTTTAGTATTTTAAAGATTTTCTTTTAAAGAATGTAAGTTAATTTTACTGTTATTGCATAATTTAATTTTAGGATAGAAATATTTATATCATAATTTATTTACATTTTGCTATCTTTATATTACTACAGCATTTAACACCTTTGTGGCTTGGAAAGGGTTACCATTCCATTAAGTCTAAGATGTTTTATGTACTGTCCGCACAGCTTTGCATACGGTCAGTTTTCATAACGCTGATCCAACTAAGCGATTAAAAATAAGTTTCTAATTTTTTAACCATTGTTAGCTTCGTTTTATTTTTCATTATGTCTAATTCACATTATTTATAATACATCTAATTTAAGCAATTTATGATACATTAACAGATAATTTTATAAGTATTTTCTGTTTTTAAAATTTTTTTAAAAAATCGTAATGCATAAATTTCAAAAATATTTATGAAGTAAATAAAAAATTATAAATATTTTTAACTATTTTTCCTTCCTTTCAGATATCAATGCATTTGCAAACTACTTTCTATAAGTTTATTAATGCATACTCTGCACAAGAAAAAGGGACAGTTCTACATCTCCTGTTCTACTGGGCTGATTGATAAAATTTAACTTGTGTTTTCCATGTCTCAAAAGCGCAACGTAGGATATATATTTCGATTTAAATATAGCATTGTTTTGAAATGCGTATTTTGACACAAATCGAACATTTTTTTAACATGACATATCAATTTCTTTTCGTATTTTGATTCTATGACTCAAATTATGCCTAAATGCTAAGTTATGTAAAAATCGGACCAGTAGTTTTCAAAACATTCTCTCACAAAATTTAAGCTCCTCAATGTTAATTGAATCTGTTATATGTTTATTAACATCTCTATTTTTTATTAAACTTGCTTGATTTTTTTTTATAGTTCAAAATTTAGGTTTAAAACAAATAAAATTGGCAGATATTTTCTGATTTATTTTTAATTTGTATTTTCTTAGCAATTTTTACAAATTAAAAAAAAGGTTTTTTGAAAAATATTTCATGTTTAAGTATATGAAGAATATTTTTGCGTCATTGAATTACTGTAAAGAAACAAAGACAGTTGAACTTATTCATAAAAGGATATCGTATAAAAATTATTTTTACAAACAAATGTATAATAAGGATTTGACTTACATGGTATGATGCATTCGTATCTATTTTTACACCTATTGATGTCCCACGCGCCTACACAGTAGGTTTTGGGCTCCTCGAAGACATCATTCAGTTTCTAGAAGAATATTGTAAATTACAAATAAATTCATTTTAGGTTTCAAACATATTCAGTTCATTTTTATTACACTGTAGCATAAAGCCAGACAAATTAATGACAGAAATTTTTACAATCTGAAATAAATAAATAATAAAAAATAATAAATAATTCACTAAAGCAAATGAGTCCTTCTCCTGGGATTTTATAAATGAAAAGTCAGCATTTAAACAAATAAAAATTTGCAAACATTTAAACAAACAATATAAAAAATATATTCAAAATTTCAGAAGTTTATTTTTGGAATTTATTTGTCTCCTATAAATGCTTGCCATAAACATTCTTACACCTCATATTCATTGTAATCATAGTTTGAGTTAAATTAAATTCAATTTATCATAGTTTTGAGTTGAATTTAGTTTTGCTCACATGAACCATAGTTTGATATTTATAAGAATCTCAAAGCTTTTCATCGAAGAATTTTGAAAACTCCATAACTCAAAAAAGTTATAAACTTTCTGATTCCTATTTTGAATCTTAAAATTTTATGGCAAAACCTCAAAGTTTTTCTATAAGATGAGAGTTAAAATACAACAATAATCTTTTTGTAATTTATCATTTTAATAATTAATTCAGTTTTCTTGAAATTTTATTCACATACTGTGAAGTACACTTATGAAAATAACACTGCATTATTATTTTTAATACACTTTATACAACTATCATACAATTTTATCTCATATTTTCCGACCTACTGTTTGTACCTTCTTTCACTAACTCAAGCTTTTACATAACTTTTTTTTTTTTTTTTTTTTTTTTTACAGTCAGATTTGGGGTAATATTCTGTCACCTGCTTGAGATTCCAATGCATATCAAAGAAATCCAACAAAGTAAATTTATTTAACCCTTTGCGGCACAGTGTGTCTGGTCTGGACACACCTAAAAATTTCCTTCTGTATGCACAGAAAAATTGAATGAAAAAGGACTTATAGGTTATTTCTTTATTTATAGTAGATGGCAGCTCAGCACAAACTAGTCCATATATTTTAGCCATGTTTAGTTTTTTAAAACCCTCATTTTTCAAAGAAATCTTCCAGATTTTTTTTAGGGTATAAAAGGAATTGTTTGAAAAGAAATTTCTATGTTATTTTTTTGGCTGTGTGCTAATCTCGTTATTCTATATTAGTTTTAAATTTTTACATTGAAATCTTGCTTAAAATCAAACGGCGAACCCTAGGTGTGTCTAGACCAGGCTCACCGATCATCTAGGACAACTGAGAGTCTGTATTCTTTGTTTCTCCGCATCTCATTGGTCAGTTCATTGACAACAATGCTCGTTTCAGCACTCTTTTCGAAGCTCTATTCAGTGAGTGTGCCACTTTGGGCACACCCACAGAATTAAAATGATAAGTGCTATCTTCACAAAATTTTACTTGTGTACTCCTCTAGACCTAATTAGATTGCCTACCTTTTTTTTTTTTAAATCAAAACTCCAACTTTAAAAGATACCGTGCAGGAAAGGGTTAATACCCTTCGTGAAAATTATTAAGAAGATTAAATATTTAAGAAAACATGCCAAGAATATTCCAACCACGAACATAGCAAAAAATATCAGATAGGCCGTAGCAAAAACAGCGCTATTCCGGCACGCACACGCACAAACAAAAAGCCTGATTTAATTACCCTGATTCTGGATCTAGATGTACCATTCTGATTTTATACTTGTTACCATTTTGGTCTGCTTGAGTACTCCACAGATTTCAAATATTTAATATGTTATTTTCATAAATGGGTTTTCGATGTGGAAAAGTAGGATTTTATGAGGTCTCTCTGAAGCATGTATTATGTGAATTCGAATGAATGTAATATTACTTAATTAATATCCTCAAAAAATCGTGAGAAAAAATCAATAATCCTCAATATGTACATTATTAAAAGCACAGCAGACATCATAGCATTGTTTATATTTGGTCCTTATTCTGGCAAAAAAGTCTCATGCAAGCCTCTTGCAATTTTTTGTGCAATTCTCTCCTTCAGTCGTTGAGTACCATTAATTCTGCCACTGTAAACCTGTGATCGTCGAATCACAAAATGATCCGTGAATCCTTTGATGCCCGTATTAAAAATTGTCCATGGATCCTGTGCTTCTAGAATCAAAAAATGATTCATGGATCAAGTTCTAGATCGGAGAATCCTGTGATTCTCGAATAAAAATAATCCACAGATCAAAAAATAATCATAGGAACCGTTGATCCTATGATTCTCGTATCATGCGATCCTAGGATAAAAATGATCCTATGATCCTTGGATCATTTGAACGTGATATAAAAAAATTTGATCCAAGGATTCTGGGATTTTTCTCATCATGTAATTGTGGAATTAAAATTGATCCATGGGGCCTGTGTTTCCCGGATCGGAAATGGATCCACAGATCCTTTTGATTGACAAAGATTCAGAAGAAGAAATTTAGTGGGTAAGATCAAAATTCTTTGCCATATGAGTTTATTTCTAGCAATACCCTGCTTTGGAAATTAATGATTCAATTCAAGCGCACTTGATTCGCAAAGTAAAGTGGGGCTCTCTCTTATTGAAAACAGATGTGCAAATCAATATCCTTTGTTTCCAGTGAGTCAATTTCACAGAAAAAATATTGTAGAATTTCCAAGTGATAACAGTCTCAACGAAGATTTAGAGCCAAAAATCTTATTAGACCACTTGATCTAATGACCTGAGGAAAATCTCGAAGGTGTTCATGCGCCACACGTGGAATTAATTTCAGAGCCCCTCATTCGGCAACTTTGCTTTACAATCCATTATACATAATACACAATTCACAGGGATCTCACGAAATCGCACCATTTATTTTTAGATACCTGGCGCATCAATGGAATTAAATAACCTATCTGAATGCCAGCACCTTTCCTGAGGGCCATCTGAAAATATCTTATGTTATTCGTACTATCCCATGATAACATACAGATTTTGCAGAAGTGTGGTGCCGAAGAAGCTCTTCTAAAAATTTAATTAATCATTCACATGCTAAAAGAACAGTTATGGATGAGCTCGGGAAATACTGACATCGAAGGACTGGGGTTCAGGGTTTACCTCGAACTCGACTTCGAGACCCGTCCTGCAGTTATCTCTGACCTTGCCCTTCAGCAGTTCGTAGTGGTCCCTGAGGTGATGTAGCTCCAGTTCTGTGTCACCGAACTGCGCATGCTCCATAAGAGCGCGGTATACAAACATGTATTCCTCCTGCAAGAAAGAACGGTAAATGTTTATTAACAACGCCTAAAACCTAAATGAACAATACACATTATTAATTTAATCACATTTGTAGAAGCCACAATAATAAATCAAAAAGAATGCAGTGCCAGAGTTTTGTGCCCGGATTTGGATAACATATGCAATTTTTTTAAAACTTTTTTTGAGTACTTTACGTCTTTTAAAGCATTATTTAAGTTTCTAGAGCATTCTGGGGTGTTTTCCAGGGCATTTTTTGATAACTTCAGAGCATTTCGGAGCATATTCTAGCAATCAAACTAAAAAATAAACGATATAAAAACTTATACACTGACAACAGAAGATCTTTCACTTTCGAAAACACAAGAAGCACTTAATAATTCAGTATAATTGTAATACATTTGTGTAAAGTTGAAAATTCGGAAGAAAATAAAATTCAAGTGACAAGCATGTGTAACCCATTTGTCAGTGTCTGTCTATTGCGTATTTTTGTATTATCGTATTTTATTTTTCAGCATTCCTTTTTAAGTGCATTTTACGGCATAGTTGCGTTGGAACAATCGCAAAAGCATACTTTGCCTACTTAAATATAAATAAATGCCGGGACTAAAATAAAACTAATCTTTATTTCATAGCCTGAATTTTGAGTGTAAAAATATAGAACTTTTTGTGTTTAACTTATTAAAACATAATGAACGTTAGTAGCCTTTACATTAATAACAACAAAAGTGAAAAGAAAACTAGCGAACTTCCCTCGCCTTTCCGAATTTCAACATCGGATCATTCAATGCACAAGCCAACCCGCCGAGACTACGTCATTGGCCAATTAGCGGCAACCACGTTAGTTTATCGCCGAATGATCTTTGAACTAATTTGCATGAGAAAAACAACATAACATTAAGTCAACAGTCATAAATAAGTAATTCATATATTCATATATTACATCTCGGAAAGTGATACAAATTATTAATACTTTCTTTTTTACCCAAATAATATTAAGAATTAATAGAAAGAAAAAATAATCATTGGCAGAAAGCAATGATAAATGCTAATAAATATTTACAAGCAGTAATTAAATATGATGATTACCACATAGCAATCGAAGGAACACTACCAGATATATGAATTGTATTTTTCACTTAATTTGCTTATATTCCAATATTAACTAAAGAAACGAAAAGACGAATGTGCGAAATAGTATAAGAGTATTCAATAAAATAAATCAATCGTATTCAATGAAATAATCTGTAATTGGTATTTTAGAAACATTAAGTTTATTTATTTAATAAAATTTTGGCACCTGTGTGATGTGTGCTGTATAGTTTAAAAACTTGTAGTTCTTTACTAATTTTATAATTTTCAGTTACACGGAAATACAAATTATAATATGGAGATAACACATAAATGCTTAATTTTATTGTCCTGCTGGCTAATCATTTAAAGTTAGAAGTTTTGAAGTAATAAACGACCAGTCGTCTAAGCATATTAACTTTTATGTATTCAAGAACACATACGTTATCTAACTTGTGCTCTGAATAGGCTTTGTGAATATTTACAAAATACTGCACACAGCTTTGTAAGCTTGCGCTTGGTAATTTTTTAATTTATTGACAGAGCAATTTAAATATTCTACATACAGATAAGGTGTCTCGGTAAAGTCTCTTTGCCTGCATTCTTGATCCCCCGGTTATAGGTGAAAATATTGCAACAAAAACATTGCGAAAGGAAACGCCGCAAAAAGAACAACGCAGGAAAATACATCGTCAAAAAAAGCAAAGAAGCATTATGGTGTGGTGTGTGTGTGTGGGGGGGGGCAAGGAGAAAACTTCGCAGTTCTTAATCATCGCTGTACAAAATATCGTCATAGAATATAAACTGGTAACAAAATTTCGCAATTTGAAAACATCGCGGTAAAAATATATAGAAGCAAAGAAAGCTGAAGCGAAAAAAACATCGCAGAAGCATGCATTTTATGTATTTAAGATGTTAACAATTCTGTGAAACATATTTTTTGCTACTGTATTGTTATTTTGAGTACAATGAATCCTCTCTAAGACGAATTCTCACAGTTTTAGAAGATTTTAGACTTCTGTAGAAGAGGCCATCCTAGGAAGGTGATGTTTAGTTAAGATGTTAATTTATTTTTTTCAGAAACAGTTGTTATTTTCACAGGTGATTGACTTGGGAGAGTGATCGCTATGAAACAGTTCACTGGATTTTAACTGGAGAGAAAATATAAAATCCAGTTATCTGCTGCATTGCAGGAATACAGTAATTCGCTGTACTCAAAATAATACTGTGGTCCCAAATATATTTTTCACGGAACTCTGAACGTCCTGAACGAATAAAGTGCATATTTCTGCAATGCTTTGTAGATATTTTGTTTTTTTACCATGCTGTTTATTACTACGGCCCTCCGATCTGAGTTCGATTTCAGACGAAGGAGCTGGCTGTACGGATGTTTCTATGGCTTTTTTCATGTGCAAATGCATACGAGTCAGTTTCGCTCACAAAATCGTTCACTAAGGTGTCCCTTCCTGAAACAGATAGCCCTCGCGTGCTTTCTCATAATCAAATAAACCAAACCAGCTTCACACGAAGATCTTTTTAAACTGCGAAATTTTATCACCACTTTATTTTCTGCGACGATTTAAAATTATGAAGTTTTCTTCTTGCTTTTCTTTTTACCACGATGTTTTCGTTTGCTATATTTTTACTGCAATGTTATTAGCTAGCATTTATTCCTTGAGGTTATTAGAAAAAAAACATTCCTGGAAAAAAAAAAAGGTTTTCATTACAATTACCTTTAGACTGCTTCTGACGTTTTTCTAAAACATGCTGTAATATTTTCATCAGAAACTTTATGCAAGAGATTGAAAAATTATTAAAGAGTAAACATCTGCAAACGTTTTTATCAATCAAAATTTTAAATCACAATTTCCTTTTAAACGAGCACATTTACAATACATCTACAATGTTTTATGTTTTAGCACTAAATTCATGGGGAAAAAAAAAAAAAAAAAAAAAAAAAAAAAACATTCGAAGAAGGCAATTTTAGAAGAAAACGGAAAGGATACATTTCTTCTAATTCTGTATACTTTTTGGTATTATGTAGACCTTGAAATGCGTTCGTTGAAATCGTCTGCTGAAATACCCTTTCATTCTACGATTATATGCATCTGAATTTCAGAATCACTGTCAAAATTGTGTCTTATAGGCTAACATCTGATTTTCAAGGAATTAGCTCGAAAGATGTTAAACCCAATGGAGAAGAGGATGATAAAAATAACATTCTTCTTTCCTTTACATCCCCCTTTTCCTTAATTTGCAATAAAATTTACACTTTCCTTTGCAAATACAGTCTTGAAGATAGTTGCACTGTGCAAATCAATAATAAAAAACTACTGCCTTTTCTAACACTTTGACTAAAAATTGGAAAAAAAAAAAAGTTTGTTACCCGTTCAGCATTTGGGATTTTTTTAACTAACGGTTTTCAAGCCAAATGCTGGGACACATATGTCCCAGCCGTAGTTAACGGTGAGATGCATAGGTCACACACGTAGCCAGTGCAGGATTTACGTATAAGCTATAGCTTCGGCCCTCGTTTTCTTGGAGTCCCTCCAAAACCTTCTAGGTATCTGAAAATCATATTTGGCACTGACATAGAATATCTGGACTTATAAAGAGCCCCCATACCTCAAATAGCTCAGGGCCTTATCAAGTCTGAATCCAGCCCTGCACAAAGTGATCGACTTCATCGTACTTTATCGTATCGGCATTCTTTGCATAACTCAACATCATACATTGGGCAGCTCATATGCGTTCTTTTCTTTATGTTCATTTGTGTACAACGAGCACACCCGGCGTCTTGATTTTCCAACTACTGGAAGGGGATCTCCAACATTCAGTACATTCGAAGTACTTTTTAACCCAGCAGTAATTTTTAAACTTTTAACCGGATATATATGTCACATTAGTAGTCAAAGGGCTAATAAGTCTTCCTCTCGGTTATAAGCAAAACATAAGCTTTCGTCACTGGCAGTGATTTGTTTAAACACTTGAGTTTACTGCATGCTATTTTATTTAAATCTTTATTCCTTATCATTTTTTCAGACATCTAAAGATAACAATTTTATAAGGTATTTTCTACTTCCTTCCTGCATGCCTTCATGGTGTAACAGTAGCACACTCAACGCATATTCGAGAAGTCCAGATTACAGTCCCGGCGAGGGCATTGCTAATTTTTCATGTCTCCAGCTTCAAAAAAAATCCAATCTCTACGGACAAAAGACTGATGTCACTTTTAAAAGCTCTGTAAACTACTTGTAGATACTCTCGAACAGAAAATTTTATTAGCTGAAATCTTTGTACAAAATATTGTTGGCCTATGGAAAGAACCTTCACTTACAACTGTAGACATATCTTACAGAATTTATACACACACGAAAAAAAGTATTTACGGGAAGAAAGATTCTAGATTGCTAATAAATGAAGCGTTTTCTTACCAACGTCCGAATGAGATGATTCCTGTGATACCTGAGGTGTGTGACGAAGGCGAAGATGTCGACTATACCCTCTTCGTCCAACTGCTGACTCAAGGAATCAATGGCAACGTACGTACCCGTGCGACCGACTCCTTCGCTGTTCAAAAAGACAAAAGTATTCTGATACACTAATTCAAAATGCTATCTTTTCAGGTACAAAAATGGAACTCGAAGACATGAAGATACCTGCAATGGACAAGTAAAGGTCCCCTGTCTGGAGAATAATGCTCATTCACCCTCTTGATGAACCTCAGGAGCCAGGATGGTTGGCCAGGGCTCAGAAAATCACTCCACATCAGGAAGTGGAAGTGTAGCACCTCACGTTGGCACACCTCCTCATTCTAAAAGGAAGAAATAAATGCTGCTAAGTGGTGACACAGTTCAAACAATTATTCACTTTCAAGACAGATGTTGGAAGATTCATTCCTCTTTTCTCGTGATACTATTTAGCAAAGATGGACTTAAAACAGTACATACCGTTTTTTTAAAAATTAAAATCAAGGTCGACTATTACAGGGTAGTCGAAAGTAAACCGAACATAAAGCAAGTGAAGAATACATTAACTGTAAAGCAGACTCAAGATAAACCGTACCGAACACTAAAGACATCACTAAATTAAAACCCACTCACTTTGAGTGGGATTTGGTTTGGTTTATTTAATTATGGAAAGCACGCGATGGCTATCTGCCTAGGGTATACCTTTCTGGAGAATTTTCTAAGGGAAACTGGCTCATATACATGTTACAAATGGGGAAAACCACGAAGCGGGCCCGTTCGATTGGAATCGATCCTAGGTCGAAACTACCAGTGTTCAGCGACTTTACCGCTCGGCCGCTGGCGGGCCTCACTTGCTTTGAATTCTTGGGCCACCCGATATAACCGTGTCGGAATAACAAAGCACATTGATAATCTGTTCTTGAAACCATTGTTGTTCAGGAGCCCTTAAAATTCCTCATGGGCTTTTAAATATTAAGCAGCAATGAAATCTCATTTTGTTGGCTCAATCAAGACTTCTATGGCTGTCTCCAAGCTCTTCCAACAGTTTTTCACAGTTGATTCTGCTGTGTAATTAATCTAACAGCAACAAGGAACTCAGTTTTATTTGGATGATAAACAATACTAAACAAATAATCTTTCGAACAACCCAATGAAACTGAATTTTAAATAACTATTTTATGAATAATTAAAATTAACATTATAACTTTATATTCATATTGTTGAGAAATCCCCAGCTGCGGTAAGATAGCTTCCCCCCAAAACGGGTTTAGGGTTGACAGATTTGGCGCAAAATCGGCCATTTGATGACAAAATTGGCCATATGCTATAGAGGGAGCGAGAACATTCTGGAATGAATTCTAACCGGTTTGCCCCAGATTGTTCTCGAAGGCAGGTCAAAAGCTATAGAAACTCTGCTTGTACGCGGAGTAGCAGTTTTATCTTCAGTGTTTTGAACTCAGCTTGAGACGGGAGCTGCACTTTAGTGCTTTGCCGTGAAGCTGTCTTCACAGTTATAGCCTTCTCCTGATTATTTCAGTGTGTTTATCGTAGTTTTTTGACGACTGCTACTGCGTCTTTGGGAACTGTCCTGCGAAATACTGACGAATAAATTGTGTTTTGATTCTGCATCAAGCGTTATCGTCAATCGCTCCAAATCCACAAACCCGTAGAATGCAACAATATCTATACGCGCGCATAAATAATTAGATTTATAACGTATCTTTGAGAATAAAAAGATGAAAATAAAGTAAAAATATAAAAATCTGGAAGTTTTCAGATTTTATATTACGCCCAAAGGGGAGCTTTTTTAAAACTTTTTTTATGTTACCTTATTGAATATCATGCTCTTCGCACTTAAACCCTAAAATTCAATTCAACAGCAATATCGCAAAGTATTTCAAAAAGACAACATATCTTTAGAATTTCCGATACACAGTCTCGCGCGCTGGAGATAAAAAGCTTTTCGTTTTCTTCCGTACAGTGTTGCCATTGCTCGCTTTGAAATCTTTGAGTTTCTTAGTCAAAAATTCGTTAAATTCTTTATAAATATGAAATATGATATATAAATATAAATATAAAATATAAAATATGAAATAGACAATAAAACAAATTCAAAATTTGGTCTTCCAGGTGCCCATATTCGGGTGGAGGATTACGTTGTTCAAAATTCAATAACTCTAGGTACCATTGTTTTATCACAATGCGAGTAACATACATGCAATTCTGAAGATTCTTCATTATTTAATTTCTTTAAACATAATACAGGGCGATAATATTGGGTGGCAACAATTTGCAATGCTGTGTATAGTGAAACGGCACAAAATGCCAAAACGAAATTAATAGTCCTTCTGGGCTAAAAATATGTATAATTCCAAAGTTGTCGAATATGATGCAACAGAAAAGTAAAAACTTAATTTTGTTTTATAGTAACAATAACTAAAACAATGCAATGGATCATTCGCACAGCTTTGTATGAGACGTAAGGTTTTTAATTTAATTTCTATGCTACCGACAGATTATATCTGCAGTGTTGATATTAGACAGGACAACTTTTGGCCACGAAAGGGTACTCCAAGATATCATGAGGATATAATATCTTAAATCTTCACAACGTCCCGTATACTTTCAAGGGAACCTAGCGAGAACTTACTGTGGATGACGTGGAATTTTATTTTAAGCATTTGGATGGATGCGTTTGGGAAGTTAGCTAGTATTCCAGGATATCCTCAGAATGTTGTAAGTAGAACTTTAAATCATTACAACATCTCGCACATTGCCAAGGGGATTTAGCGAAAATATCGTGGGGATATACTGGAATGTGACAACAAGCACTTGGGAGGATGCATTTAGGAAATTAGGGGGTATTCAGGGATGTACTCTAACCACGTGATCAAAACCTTTATGTGACGATAAATAATTTTTATTTTTCAAATCATAACCGGATTGGTTAACAAATACAGCATAAAACTTTTATTTATTAATAACACTAGAAACGTTATGTGTACGTAACTGAAATAATTTATAACTAAAATTTTTATGTACACTGCGCAGGAGAAAAAAAAAAAAAAAAGACAGTTCTATATTTCCCGTTCTATTGGTCCAATTGACGATATTGAAATTGCGTTTTTCATGTTTCGAAAGCGCGACTTAGGATATATATTAGATATATATATAGCATTGTTCTAATACAGGTGTTTCGACACAATGGGTTTTTTTCTGAAATGACATGCCAAATATTTTCCTATTTCGATTCTACGACTCAAATTATGCCTAAATATTAAATTTTGTACAATTTGGCGCGAAATTTACGGAGAAATTCAAAAATTTATCTTGGCATGTTTTTTTCTTTCAGTTTGTACCAAGAATGGTACAAACCACTTGTACCACTTGGCGAACTTCTTAATTTATAGCAACCTACTTTCCTTTTCTTTTTTCATTGTAGACGAGCGGGAAAAAGTCATCGTTCATACTTTCGTATAATTTTAACAAAACGCGTAACCAAATTTGGCGTTATTATCGCTTATAACAAATATACAAAATTTCAAAACGCGCCAAAAAGTGAATTCCCGTATATCTTAGACGATTTCGAATAAAAAACCTTAATTTTTTGCAGCTGTACCTAGAAATACATCTACTTTAAGATGATGTTAAAAATGTTATAGGTCATAATTAAAATTTTTTTTCAAAAAATTTATAAAAATTATTTAAAAATACCAATATTAAAAATAAATAAATAAATAGGCGAATTTTATACGAATGAAGAAAGAATCAAATAAGTTTAATAAAAAAAAAGAGATATTAACAAATATATAACAAATTCAATTAACATTGAGGAGTTAAAGATTTTAGAGCTAATTTTAAAAAACTTCTAGCACGATTTTTACAAAATTTAATATTTAGGCATAATTTGAGTCACAGAATCGAAATATGGAAAAAATTCGTCATGGCATTTAGAAAAAGTCCAATTTTGTGTCAAAATACCTGTATTAGAGCAATGCTATATATATATCCTAAGCCGCGCTTTCGAGACATGAAAAACGCAATTTGAATTTCGCCAATCGGACCAGTAGAACGGGAGATATAGAACTGTTCCATTTTTTGTTTTTGCTCGGTGTACATTTACAGTATGATTATAGTTATAAAAGCTGTTTCTAACGATGTATACATACATATCACATTGGGAGAGAATTACTTAAGATTTTCGAAAGTTTCCTTGTTATTATCCAATGTACGCAAAATAATGGATTAAGACTCTTTTCTTACATTTCGAATTTACAGTAGAAAAACTTTAGCTATCCGGACACCAGTGATTCGAAATTCTAGTTATCTGGTCCTCTTGTTATTTTTTTCGAGCGGAAATAAAATTAACCTCGTTCTCAATTTATTTCTTTTGCTCGAATATGATTAATGTTGGAAAGTAACACGCAATATACATAGTTAGATGAATTTTGCAGCAAATATTAACCGGTCTAAAATGCTCTGGGAATTTGTAGCTATTAAAATTAATAGAAATGCAGTTGCTCTGTAAAGTTTCATTTAGTTCTTTAACCAGTTATTTCATGTTAATTTGCTTTCATGTCATCCTCGTTTTCCATTTTCCTGCCAGAATGTAAATTTCTAGCTCGTGTTACATTTCAATGAGGTAGAAAGGAGATAATCTTCGAAGGAAGTTTTAGAAAGTAGAATTAGAGCGTGTTCTGCCTATTGACATCCACGTTGCTCTTGAGAGTAGTTTCTGCAATACTGAGCTATTCTCGCCATTAGGCTTGCCACGCCGACTTTAAGTCAGAGCGAACTTGCGCTCTATTTGTGTAGCCGTTAGGCTAACTTACTTTAGTCAAGTTCAGTACCGTTGATTTAAGCCATATATACTGGATTCTGTAAGCACGAGTGGTGCCTTCTGTTAGCTTTTAAAACTGAGTTAAATAAAAGGGTTCTTATACATTTTTCAGTCTGTGTACTTTATAAGATGTACTGATAATTCACTTTAAGTCTTAAGACGTTTTCGTACATTTTATGCTACCAAAAAATACGAGATGTTAGAGCTCATTATAATATATATATAGACTTATCATTCTTTGTTTGCTCTCTGAGATTTTGTCTAGTACTCCGTAAAATAAATTAAATAAGCATTATATGCATCTTTCTCTGGAATTTTGTCTCACGATATTAGTTTCAATAAATTGCTTCATTTGAAATGGATTGCGTGTTTAGGTAAATAAAAGCTAAATTTATTAATTTTTCTTATCTGGCTTTCTTATACTCTGGCTCTTTTGTTTTATTTTATTAAAATGAAACTTTTTTCCTCAGCTGGGGAATATTCGTCAAAATAAAACAGCACGAC